GAAATTTAACTCTATCCCAGACGAAACCATGACACTGTGTACGATACTACCAACATCAACCACAAATCCTCCCTGAGCTTTGAAAAAAATAAAGTGGCAAGAAGAGAATCAGCTCATCAGACTTATGAACCCTCTGCCATTTACAGTGCCTCCGCTCCATTCCAAGGGAAAGAAAAAAAAACAAAAACAAGCAAGCAGATTGAAATGGGGAATCAGGAGATCAGTCATTTCCAATTTTGGGGTTAAGCCCCTATCAAATGTGTTTCCTGAACTCAGTTACTTCTCCCATCTTGACACTGTTGTTCCTCTGTTTACAAGCTCATCATTAAGTCCAAGAAAGGCAGGAAGGCATATATATGTCTGGGAGGGTTGGGCTGCACCTCTAAAGATTTCATATAATAACTTGGCACACCACAGGCTGGCAGACTTTAAAAGATCCTGATGTCCTCTGCCCTGACTACCCACTCCTGCCACTATACCTTTGGTGCTGGTAGAGCAGCCAGACAATGAACCAGACCCCAAACCCCGTATTTTCTGGCTTCTTCCAGAGCAAGTCCTAGCCCAATTGGCTGAGCAGCCAGGCAGATGCGTTTGTACAAGGGAGAAAATTCATGGCCAGAGGAGGCTGGCAGGGTTCAAAAGATAATTTGCTGCTTCTGAAATTAACTGTCTCTGTACCAAGCACCTCGCCCACAAAGAACTCTGGGTTCAAAACATTACAACCAGAATAAGCAAGGTCTTTAAAAAATCCTGTCCCCATAAAAATGCATGCAAGTGAGAGTGATAAAACAATGCAAAAGAACTCTAATGCTTTAACACGTATTTGCTTTATCACTGCAAGGATGTCCTTTGGCAGTCAGTTTTAGAAACAAGGCAGCACTACCAAGAAAGCCAGAATATTACATCAGCCAGAGGAACTGCTGCTGAATTCCCGATCACGGCGCATTCTCTCTACTGCTTAGCACGTTGCGCCCTCACCTTCTCCTCTGAACACTGGTGCATTTCCAAAGCTGCTTCAACAAGAAGTGGATCAAAGCCCTTCTCACAAAGCTGTCCATGTGCAAACAGGTAATCCAAAACCTGTGGGAAATGAAGAAAAGAAACTAAGTTTGCAGAGTGGCATTCGCAGCACGCGGTTGAATACCATCTCTGTACTTGCAGAGGGGCTAAGCACGACTCTACTCAAGGCTTCACCAGGGATCGAGGTGAAGTCCTTCCTAGTAGAGTTGAGACGCTCTTTATGCAAGAGCTTCTTCAGAGAAAACAGACCAGCCCTTCTGTCCTCCTGTGCTGTCCCACCAGCTCTGAACGTCATCTTCCACTATAATCAAAACAGTCTCAGAAGCCTATCTTTAGCCTTCCGTGCCTGATCACTGAGCAGAAGGCAGTTGTTTAATTGTGCTTTTTATACTACAAGTTTTTAAAATGAAACTGTAGGTCCAGCAATCAAGATGCATCAGCTTTTAGCTTCCTCTCAGACAGCTGCAAGAGCTGATGCAATCTAAAAGCAGTCAGCCTTTTAAGATCAACTCAGCATACTGGCGAGTGAGCTGCAAATCCCAGCTCACACACCCAGACACCACTGCCAAATTTCTTATCCATCCTCAGCTTTGGGAGGTACAGGGAAAAGTCAGATAGGTAATGGTATGAAGGCGAAAGAACGCAGCCTGCAAATATAGCAGGATTTAAAACCACCCTCCTAAGGGCCTCTTTTTCCATTTGGTACTACAGTTCACTGCAGCGCACAGCTTAAACCACTCTCGATGCGTAGGTAGTGGGCAAACAGATCAGCTCCACCAGCAGAAGTCACTGGGACACTCCTCCTCCCCAGAGAGTCCTGCCAGGCGATGCTCTAGACAGCACACAGCCTGCCTAGGGTCAGCACAGAAAACTTGGCCACGCTCTCCCCGCTTTAAAATGTTTGTTTGACGCGGATCCAAGGCCCAGAACCACGCTTCACCCTGCAGCGCTTTATGCTATGTGACCTGGTTTTAGCAAGCGTTTGAGGCAACACATGAGGCAGGAAGCACCACAACCAGAGCACACAAAAGAAAGTCGGTCAGTGATGCCTTGCAAGAGCCTTTCAGGGCTGTCGTAAGCCTGCAGGGGCCAATCTCTCTACAAAGAGAGACGTTAGCATCGTAAACCGTGCTCAGAACAGGGGAAGTTGGCTGTTTTTTTGTCACATGGCACTAAGCATGCCGTAGAGCCACACTAAGCTTCCTTCAGATGGTTTTGTGGCTCCTGGGAAGACCCAGTACCTCTCCCAGCTTCACATGGAGCTAAAGGCTTATCCCAAGCTCGGTGCAGCTCTGACCCAGCACTCAAGCAGTCTCTCATCAGAAACATGCACAGCCACCCTTTTCTTTGGTTTTGGGAGCCTTTACTGCCAAGTGACAACTTCTCTAGTGGTTAATATCGCAGCAGCTACAGGCTGGAACCCCGTTAGAATAAAAGTATTCCCTTCTATCCATTTTGCAAACCCAAGGTTGTTTCTCAGCAGAATCAGCATCCAATCAAGGGTCTCCTTCCCATTGCACAATCTCTTACCTGGTCTATGTTCTGTCCCTTCTTCTTCATGGCTTTCAGGACATTCTCAGGCGAGTACCCCATGTTGACGACCGTCTCTACGCACTGCCTCTCGCTAGCGGAGAGGATCTGCTGTAGTTCAGGAGCAGGGCCACCCGACCGCTTTGTGCAGCTGGTGGTGTTGGGCACTTTAGACACTGCGAAATTTTGGTGCGTTACCTAAAGGGGAAAACCCAGAGGCTGAGGTAATAGTCATCTTCTGCATCCCCACATCTGGTTTCTGGCTAGTGCAGAACCAGGATATCCCATGTAATTAATCCAAGAGGCTTTCTAGACTACCCTTGGGAGGTTACTCACTGTTAGGATGAAACCAAGCAGTGCACGTAGTCTGACTCCCACCATACTCTTTTTACCCTCAAAACAACAAACAACCTGGATTCTTCGCAATATACCCTCTCCTACTGGTGGACGAAAACCTTTCAATACCCAACCTTTGCAACAGTGAAGGTCCTTATGATATAGCCAAACCCTGTACCTCAGAGGAAGCATGGAGATTGCTTCCTTCACCCCAAGTTTACTTGTCACCTATGATTTTTTGTACTCAAAGGAACACTACTTCTGGAGATTTTCAGAAACGTGATCCAGTGCAAGCACACAAGTATTTGGGAACTTACCACAGGGATTTCTGTTTCCTTGTAGTCTGCATGTACCTGTTGGACAACACACGAATAAGATGACTATAAACATCATGCACTAGTGAGCAGAATTTGCTATAGCTGAGGGAGAAGGGTTTTATAGGAGAGATCTGTGAATAAGTCTACAATACTAGAGAGACTTGTGGTCTGATCAGGCTTCCACATGTGAGATGCAGACATTATGCAGTTGTGTGTAGTTACAGAATAGCCATCATAAGGATCGTTTCTTCTCTCAGCACTCTATAAATGGATTATGCTCCCAGAAGGATGTGTGGCCCCTCACAATAATTGTAAGCTTTTTTATTCTGTCACTGTGACTGCTACATGTTCATACAGCTCAGTGTAACATGCTGGCTCCTGTTCAGCTCTTGACCCAGTGCTACACAGCCTGAACGATAGTGATAATTTTGAAGTCATTCTCTAGAGACTTCTCTTGACTTTTTGACCATGGGAAGGGCTAAGAGAAACATATACCCCTTTTCTACTCTCAAAGCACTGCATTTCATACACCATATATATGCAATGTTGCACACTGGCTAAAAAGAGCATGTCATTTTTCTACCAATATCCAATGCTTGGTCCCATTCCCACCAAAAAGGCTGGGTAACGTTCTCTGCTGTACACCTGCTCCATTTCTGCAGAACCAGGCTGCCAGAGGGCAGAACCAACCCACCACCTTATACTACTTCACCCAAGATAGCAGCAGTGCAAAGGCAGAACTTTGCCCCACCAAATCTGCACGTTTCAATTCATCCATTTAAAAGTCTTCCTGCATTTTAAATAGAATTAGAAAAGACTGCAAGAAATCACTCTGGACCAAGAGCCTCAGTTTTTTGCATTTCTTGATACTTACTATGCCAACATGGATTGCTTGAAAGCTTGTCCACTTCTTTCAGAAAGGCCTTCTTTGGGCCCAAACTAAACAACAAAAAACTGTTTATAGAAAAACAGTTCTGAGAAAAATCTATTAGGATTTTGACAAATTCCATTCATTTGCAAAAAAGAAAAAAAAAAACAAACCACCACCAAGGACATTTTGTTCTGCATTTCCGACCATTTTCATCTCCAAGGTAAGAATTTCTCTTCTAGGAGACAAAGCCTGAGAGATCATATTCAGTCTGATGGACTGGTTTACCCAATAACCTCTCCTCATGGTGGTATAGGGGTTCAAAGCTCTTCGCACACACCCTCTCCAGGCACTTTTGCCAGAGCAAAAAGCACTAGAATATGGGATACACTGAAATGAGGGTCTGGACTAGCCCTGAAATCAGCTGGCTACCAAATTGAAGAATGATGCTTTGTTATTGATGCTGCAGCCAGGAAAACCAGAACTGGTTCTGACACCAGAGATTCAAGAGTCTGGGAAAACCAACTCCTCCTCCTCAATTGACTTGAGCTTGACAACCTGTGCTTGTGGTCAGTGACTTCCAGTGGAGGAGGGAAACATCTAAAGGAATTGCAGGGGACGAAGCCAGAACTTGTCACTCAGCAGCCATGCTCCCTTATGTCTCAAACTTGCATTTCAGTGCCCTTCCAGAAGCAGACATGCAGTGCTTTCAGTATGCACTTGCACACTGTGCCTACTTTTAGGGACTTCATATAGAGGCCGGGAGCCCTGCCTACAGCTGGTGTGCCCACACACATCACACTACTGCAGCGGTATATATTCTGAATGGTCCCCCAGGAGTGCCCCATTTTCCCGTAACCAGAGATCTCTCTAAATAAAATGCATCATACTAGTCAGGTCTCTGACCAGCTTTGTTTAATTCCAACCTGTTGTCTTCACTAGCCATTTCTCCCTCTGCCAATGCTGCACGAAGCAAACCAGTGAGCTTCAAAAAAAGAGGAGAGGGGACCACCCAGGACAGAACCAGTGCAGCCTCAGAGAAATCACAGGTTCATTTCCATCCAAAAAATCCTAGATCCAATTCACTGGTAAAGCATAAACTCCAGCAGTAGCTCCGAATCCAAAGTTACAATTTCTAGTCTTGTGAGAAAGAAAAAAAAAAAAAAAAGAAAAAAATCACTGTGGAGTACACTAGGACATATAACTGTCCCACGGCTTTCTAAAAAGGACAGGCTTATTCTTGTGTAATCTTGCAGAAAAGGGACATATGACCCTTCCGCTCCCAGCCACAGGGATGACTGTGACTTCCTTCTATCATTTTCATACTCTGAGGATTTTTGTTACATTTACTTCAATACTTTTGTTGCATTTACTTCAATTTCTTGCAGCTCAGCTGTTATTCTCCAGCCACTGGGACCATACTGTGGAAACATGGAACAAGTATAGTCTGGTGTCTTGGAATTTAAACAGAAAGAACTAGTTCTGTCGGCATACCTATTTCTTGGTTTGCTACTTCCAAAGCAGAAATAGTTTCAAATGAAGATCTTTATTACTTCCCCTATAAGCCTGTTTGTTTATCAGTTTGTATCTTCCCTTACAGCATTCTCAAGAATACACCTTCCCTCTTGATCTTTAATAAGTTTTAATCCAGCATAGAGATTTGAATAGTTAGAGCGAAAATTTGGCCATCTGAACGCCCATCTATCTAGTTGTAAGTGACCTTTCATGTTAATTCCTAGAGATGTGTCATGTGTCATACTTCGAGGTTTCACCTCTGAGCTACATACGATCATATAATCGCATCTCAAACCCGTGATCTGTAGCAGTAAGCAGTTTTCAGCACATTGCCGCTTCTGCCAAAGTTTACTGTATTAATTTGTTCTAGTGATCAATAAACAGCTGTTCTGCTGTGCTTTGACAAATACACTAGTTGCCAGAATATTGTATTTCGCAATTAATAGTGCATTTACCTAAGCCTGAAAAGAAGTGAAAGAACAACGGGAGAGAAGCAGTGTCACTTGTTTCAGAGCACATGGTGTCACACAAAAAACTACAGTATGCCAGTAAGATCACAGAACCTCTGAAGCACTGCTTACATTGGACAGAAGAAACCAGATTATTTTAGAGCCAGCTAGAGGATTTGACTATACAGCTTTCACTAGGCTTCATGAGTATTGGTGTCCAGATCTTAGGTTCTTTGGGAAAAAGCCCACAAGCTTACACAAATCTCTGCTCTTATTCACAAAGAGACAAAGACAACAGCTTGCGTGAAGTTAAGTGTCCTCAAAGTAATTTTAAAACTTGCTACAAGTTTGAGGAAATGAAGCATCAACCTCCCGTCTCAGAGCAACCAGCTGTAACACTAGCGATCTGAGATGATCTGATGATCTTCAAGACTGGTTTTGGTAACCACCAAGCAAACCTTCCACCCTCCTTCACAAGGAAGAAGGTAAATACCAGATTTCAGACTACCATCATTTTCTTCCTTTTAAAGATTAGATTTTAAAAGGATCTCAGGAAGGGAAAAAAAAAAAAAAAAAAAAAGAAGATGACGACACACTTATTTCACTGCAGGTCAATTGCAAGTACTTCTTTCTTTCCTGAATGACACAGCACATCTGTGTTTTTTAATCTATTATTGCTTCTATTCCTTGAAAAGCCTGCATTTCCCATTATTTCCAGCAAATAAATAAGCAAGCCGAGGAACAAATCTAGAGGAGCTTTAACTCAAAACCTAATAGCTCTTCAGAACCTGATATATCTCAGTTGTTTAAGACAGAATGCAGGACCATACAAAGAAGATATCTTACACGCTTAGCTCAAAGGTGTGCAACTATGAACAACAAGAGCTGAAAAGCTGAAAGAAAAATCACCAGAACTGGTCTAAAAATATCGTATTTTGGGGAAACTTGCAGAGTAAAAATCTGAGGTTCAGAACTGCCAGCATGAAGACCTGTTGGATTGATGAATTTGCCCTGTAAATTAAGAGGATCTACACATCACTCCCATTAAACGAAACTAAAACCATTGCCACAGGACATTTTAGAAGCAACATTTGCCTCCGCACCTCCACATCTCCCCAGCAACCCCAATTCTAATCCACTGCATGTTTACCGTAGTCGCTGTGCTTTGAGATGATTCTTCTTCTGTACAAACTGTCGACACAGCCAGGGAAGGCAGCCTGGATGAAGAGGATAATGTTGATGTCTCCATGCCACTGTCCTCATTTAGAGCGGAAAGACCAACCATATGGTGTCCATTCAGTTCACTGGCTTTACTCTGAGCACAGGTCTGCAAAGAGCTGAGCAAAGTGCCATTGCGGAGACAGGAGGTACTGTGGAAAGTGCTTGTGAGCTTTGATGATTTTTGATCACTCTCATCGGAGTCAAGTTTAGGAAAGGACAGGGATTTGATATTGCTCACTGAAGTGATAGGGGACAGGGACACTTTGGAAGACAGGGACATCTTTTCACAGTTTCCCAACTGCGGTAAAGTGATAAAGCCATTGGGTTTGTGAAGGGGCTTGAAGTCCAGCGTGGCCCTTTCTATGGATGCCAGAACTTCCTCATCTTGCAACACAGACTCAGACCCACCTTTGGGCAAAGTATTATCTAACAGCTGGGCAACAATTGGCCCAGTAGTACCGACATGAATTTCAAGAATATTTTTTAACTCCTCCTTATCATCGATAGTTTTTAATTCCAGTTTGTCAAATGGGTCTTCTTCACATTCAAAATCAGCTGGGTTGAAGTCTGCTTTTGGACGAGTTGGACTGAGAACCTTTTGCTTCACAGCGCTGCTGTTGGCTGGCGTGGGAGTAAGAATATTATTGTGCTGCAGGCTAGCGAGGATGGGGTTTATAGGAGGGGGCATGGCCTCAGGGCAAGGTCCCTCTGAGAACCCCATTTTGCTGCTGTCCTCTGGAGCTGCTTTTGAGTTCGCTAGTGCTTCTTCTGCCTTGCGTTCAGCTTCTCTCTGGGCAGCCTGAATTTTTTTGATATCTTCAGCCCACTCAATTGTTTTCTTTTCCAGTGAGAAGTCATACTGACAGGGGGTGGATGGGAGAGGAGAAAAAAAAAGATAAATTATAAGGATCATAGCCACTACCTCTAAAAGCAACATAAGTAACATAGAATAAGAGCTACAAGAATTACCACAGACAGGCATCATTTTTTTCCCCAGCATCTCTTGTAACGTACAGACTGGCAAGCTAGAAGACAGCAGAAGTAGTACATTTTGCCTCCAGCAGCAAAACCTGTCTATAGTCTGGATTAGAATGTCATATTTTGCCTCCTTGCTACATTTAGTTTTGCTTTAGAGCTACTGATGTCCCAAGAGCAGTTTCACAGCCCTCCCACCCTCTCCCCCCAAGACAATGGATGTAGCAAGGGGAAATCTAATGCGTTACTAAATGGGCAGTCATACCCAGATCTGGCACCACTGAACTACCACAGATCTGTCCACAAGTTATTCAAGACTACGGCAGAGTATTTTTTCATCCAAAGACCAACACGGTATTACTCAGTTCCCCCTAAAAGATTCCTAATGGACTGGATATTAGAGTTTTACACCCACTAGTTTAAGAGGTATTGGTACTCTTACCCCAGTGCCAACAGCTCACCAGCCAAAGGGGGTATACTGGCTACACTGATGATAACTACGTGCAGCAGCAGATTTTGCTGCAGTTACTGGCATGACAGGATCCCACAAGCTTTTCTCATTTAACGTAAGTTCCTTCAGGGCCAGGTTCCCACAGGAAGGCATTTGTAAGCTACTCACTACCAGTTTACTGGCTGTAAACTGGTGTGGCTTGGTTGAGAGGACAAAATTCTGAACAGACTAAATCTACTTAAAGCTTTAATATCTTATGAAGAATGAACAGCCTCAAACGCTCTTTAAATAACCACAAAATGTTCAGAGAACACAGCCTACAAGTTAAGTCCAGGGTGTAACCTACCTGTGACTCACAAGAAGTTATAAGATATCCTTGCCAGAATAATGGCACATAACCAAACAGGAGTGCTCCTGCCATGGGACTGCTAGGTCATACAAATTCCTAGCTCTAAAGAGCAACAAGCCACCAAGGCTTGCTAGGCTTCTACTGGGCTTTTCTGGGACTCGCTATGTGTTGTGTCACATCCCATCCTACAGTGGGCTCCAGTGAGATCCTGGAGACCTGTTGTCTAAACTGTATTAACAGTTTTCCCTTCCCTTAGCTCTAAGACTCCAAGAGGTGCGATATACAATTTATCAGCAAGGTGACTTTGAAAAACAACTCACTGGCAGAAGAGCTGGGCACTACTCATTAAACATTCTTTGCTATTTGAGCAGAGCTATCGCAGTTTTGTGTGTGTATACATGTATATGGTCATATATGGCCAAAATTGACCAAAGCCGTGTATTTTTTTATATTTAAAAAATGGGGGGTATTTATATAAAAATATATGGCTTTAGTTAATTTTGCTTCCCTGCACTTTTTTTTAAACAGCTCTCACTACAGCTGTAAAAAAGTCAAATTGCACTGCGAGATACATAGTCTACATAGTCACATCATATTACGCAAAGCATTGCAATCCAATCAGGCATACTATACTTGAGCCTCAGCTTGGCAGGAAAATGGAGACATAGCACGATGAAGCCAGCAATAGGACATTAGAGTCTCCTTTAGCTCTCTCACACCAGCTTAACTGGGTGGAAATATGTCTATTAGGACAATCAGGTAGTCATTTAATGGTTACAATGAAAAAGCCATGATGTAGGGTAATAGGGTAATATGCAGGGCAGGAAAAAAAAAAAGGGGAAAAAAAGGCAGAACCATCTACAGCAATCTCTCACAGCTGAAGTGAAAACAATCATCAATTTGGACTGACCAAGGAAAATCATGGATCCAAATAAGAAAACATAGTTCAATTAGACTTCCTGTATCACAACCTGCATTTGGAGATTAGATTTTCAACAGTTATGCTAAAGCAATTGATTTTATGCTACCAAGAGTTTATGGTAACAGAGACATGCTCCTCAAAGACCTGGAAGCTATCCATACCAAGCTGTAACCTGCTTGCCCTATAGCTGCAAAAGAAGTCCCACTCAGAACTACACAGAAAACAAAGAACTGGAAATTTATTTCTTCATTCCACCACTGTGAGAACCCATAAAATATGGTCATAGAAACACTTGTTACCCTCAAACAAGATTCTGCAAGTATGCCATCGCGTAGGTGTATCAGTTCTTACCATTTTTCCTCTTAAAAATGCTACTCAAATTTAGTCTGGGTAACATTTAGACCTGTAACTATTACACAAAAGCATTGTACTCTTTTGAAGTATATACACTAAAACAAATGCTATTAGGCTTTTTAAAGTGATAAGAAGTAGAAACTTCTTGCACAGCCTATCATATTTTTATCTTTCTACACGTTCTAACAGATCTTCTGCAACTACTGCCGGGCATACGAAATGACACTACAGGACCAACAAGACTAACATTTGAACACATGTGCAAACTGTCACTACTTGCAATTTACAGCACCACATGTTGGGGGCCAGGAGTGGGGGGGGAAAGAGAGCAGAAAGGCAAAACACATCACTTACCTGGGCTTCTCTGACAAGCTGAGAAGAATCAGGCAAGCAGAAACCAATAGGTAATCCAACCTTCGCTGGGGTTCTGAATTTGTCTCCTATCTTAAATGGGACATCATCAAGATAACTGAAAGGCCCTAAGATCAAAAGCAGAAATTGTATCAAAAAAACTTACAAGTCTAATGCATTCAATGAAGACTCACATTTCTGTATTCGGGAGCTATTTTCTCTCTGCTGCCCTAACTATACCAGGTGACTCAATACAAAGGAAGTTGCTTGATCAGAAACACATTGAATCTGTTTGGACTTCCTTGGGGTTTTTTTGTTTTGGCTTGGTTTTTTTTGTTTTCAAAGTTCTAGCCCATAGCTATTAAAAAACCCCCAAATCCACAACATAACAATCCATCATTTTTTTGTCATATTCAAAACAGGCTTTAAAATGACCCAGCTTTAGAGCAGCTAAGACAAACTAAAATCCAGGTTTTGGCATACAAGTAGGAAGTAACACTTGGACAGAAGTGGTCACAAGGGCAAAGTGGCCCGAAGTCTAGATGCTCCACTTTAACCAAAACACCGTGAAATAGCTCAAGACTATTTAGCATAGCAATTCTCATTTTTGAAACAAGGCAATCTAACTTGATCAGCTGTCTGATTTGTGATCACTCCAGTGAGAGGCCTTAGACTTATTTCATGGTGCCTCCATCTATCCTTTATATCTATCACTTACACATGGTATTTAAAAAGTGTTTTAGGATGAAACTCTTCAGGCATCCTGCAAACTCATGAGGCAGAATCACTCAGAGCTCAATCACCTCCAAGAAGCCAGGCTATAGGTTTGCTTTCCTTGAGCTGCTGTGAAGAAGTATTAGAAAACCCACAAAATAAATTGCACTCAGTTTCTCAATTAACTGAAAGGGGTCTCTTGGACCACTGGTCTAAGCTTTCAGAATTACAGGCAAGGTTTCTGGCTGAGTATACCAATCTGAAGTGTTCCTCTAGCACTCATTTTTAACTTCGCTTTGATTGTTGCAGATCCAAAAAGATATTAGTGGCAATATCTAAGATGGTGTTCAGTGACTAACCTCTTGCTCCGTGAGCTGTGACTTGCCATTTTTATCCGACCCATTTTCATACTCAGATGACAGTTTAAGTACTGTTTGTGTTCCTTCACTGTTGACTCATCTACAACAAGACAGCCACAGGCTCCAAAAGGACAAGCAGCTTTCAAAAACAGGAACATCCTGTTAATTTGGAGTTAAATGTTTATGTGCTGTCATCACTTGAGCTCTCATACTATGCACCACACTGGCTGGTTAGGACACAGGTGGTACTTCCGCCAGCTTTGAAACCATCAGGCTGAGTAATGTACATCCCACCTGCACCACCAGGACAAAAAAAAGCTCCAGGCAGAACATAATAGTATTTTCACTGATCCTTACTGAGAAACACACATTCAAGCACTACACAGCACAGCATCCAGATGGCACCTCACTGGCCACCAACACCACTATTTGCAATACGGCATCCAAATTGTATTCGAGCTGGCAATTTGGGAACCTGGATATGCCAAAGTGTTTGCTTTTGCAGAAATAGCAACTGTGGCAGCCTTTGCATCTAGAGTGGTAAATCATGGCCAGGTCAGAGACAACCAGCTCTCCCGACTGCTCAGAGGCCGGTGTGACGGCTGCTACTATGCCCTGCTTAGTCCCACTGGTACGAGCCCTGCTCTAAGCAGGATGATCCAAGCGAAGCAGGATTACTTCTCTGCATTGATCTCACAGCCCAAATTGCTCAGTATGCAAATACTTGTCTTATTAGACCTACTGACACAGTAAGTGGTAGACATCTCCCCTCACACAGCGGCCACCTTTGCCTGAAACAGATACTAGCCACAGAGGGTACAAGCACACATTGTGGTATTTACATAGCAACACTCTTTGTTTTGGTGCAGTAAAAAAAAAAACCAACCTAAACACACCTAGACTAGATGAGCTGCATTGACAGCTGCCAGTTTAACCTCAGAAGCTAGACTAAGGAATAAAAACCTTCTAGCTTCTTCCCAGTATAATGATTTTTTTAATAATGACCACTGCTATCACCTCATCTTGAATACAACTCTGCTACAAAACCTGCAAGCACACGTTAAGAAACACACCAAATGTTTTAGGACATTTGACAGTAAAAAGTCCTTCTGACGCAAAACGCTGATGCACATAGTATTCACTTTGTTCCACCCCAGTCAGAACAGTACTAGTCTAGCAAAGTTAAAATCTGATCCAGAAAGCCAAGAACCCTTTTCTTTTTGTAAACGGATGAACCTTCTGCCTGAACACACTGATGCGTAAGGGTGCAAATTGTTTTAAATGGCAAATTCTAAAGCAATAAGCAAAACCTACATATAGAAAATATTATGCAAGCCACTGTTTCAATAATCACATGTTCAAGTGAAGCAAAGGTTTTTTTTGAACTGTTATTCAATATGTCTGTTAGCCACTTCATCTTTTTAGCAGTGAAAAGCATACTGAGGAAGTTCTGAGAATAGCCCTGGCAAAACTGTACCTGTCAGTCTGATCTCTGACCCTGCGCACTATATGATATTCCTGGCCCAAGGAAGGGTAAGATTTCTCTCCACTTTAGCGTAATGCGGAAATCACTGGCCAACTCATAGAAGTGTCCTCCAGTTTGGTAGCAAAATGGAAACATTTCAGATAAGACCAGTTAGCAGTTATGAATGGGGAACAGTTTTGAAACCAAGTGGAACTTAATTTTTGTGGTCACACAAACCACACACACATAATTTTCAGAAACTGGAGTTAAAAGCTTTCAAGTTGTGTAGTGACAGTGACAATACAACAATATTAACGTACTGCACTTGGTATAACCCACGTTTGTTGTGCAACAGATGAGAGCTGCATTTCCAGATGCCACTAATTATTAGAACTTAAGCTTGAACTTCCAATTATTCAAGTGACAGGAGAACATTTGAAGTTACACGCTTAGGCATAGTTACAGGTGTATGCTAAGAATACCCTTCAAGACCCGAAAAGGGTTCCTTTCTCTCCACCCATACCTTATATTCTCATCTTCATCTCCATCTGAACACGGTCCTGAGCAACCTGCTCAAGGTGGCTCTGCTTGAGCAGGAGGTTTGGACATGATGATCTCCAGAGGTCCCTTCCAACCTCAATCATTCTGTGATTCAACAGCAGTCCTCTAACTTCCAATAAGCAGCTCAACAGTAAGTACAAGAGATGCATCAACTATGTTGACCAATTTCATCAGCCTGCCAGAGACACTGAGCTGAAGGTAGCTCTTGGGCTAGATACTTTAAAGTAACCCAAAATTCACTTAGTGGGATTAATTCTTAACAACCCTGGAGAATACTGAAACAATTGCCCTGCTGATTTCTTAAGACATAATAAGCCAAGGAAGTTGCTCCACTACTCCTCAGAAACAGTACTGTGACAGTGTCACTGGTGTCATCAGGAACAGAGGGTACACAAACGGGTAGACAAGTAAACCAGCCAGCTTACAGCACCATTTGGTTTCATTTTGTTATTTTGAAGCCAGGAGCATGTTCCACCACACAGTACTGTTTCGAGAAATATTTAAGACAGGTTGAATTCTAGCTTCGAGTAGTGTCTTTGCTAGTCTGGTTTAGGAAGCAGAAGAGAGAAATAAAAACAGACTCCAGAGACAAGCAGTTCAGAGTGTTCACAGAGACCATTCACAGATACAAGAGCAACTCCTGAAGAGATGGCAGCTATCTAATAAAGAAATTAATCGACTTGCAGCAGGATCACTGGGCCACAGCAAAAGGAGACCATCTAAAAATTAAGTTTTGATAGGCCATTTTTATTAATCCTTAACCATGTATGTAAGTGAGGCATTTCTTATTCTGTACTTCAACTTTACACTGGCAAGACTGAATAAAAAGCACAAGGAAAAATGGAATTCCCCAGGACCCTCTTATCTGAAAGATTATCCAGGAAGATCAAGGCTGAGTTTCTAAAAGCAAAGTTTCTATAGCATGAAAAATCATGTTAGAAATTTCACACGAACCTCCCAGTACTGCCTTGAATGATTAGTGATTTGAAGAAGCTACATTACGTACAACAAACTGAACTTTCATGTTCCATAGAAATATTAATCCTCTCAAATTACACCCCACTTTCTAAAAGATAAGCACATATACAGGCAAATAATTTTTATTATACCAGTATCTGCATGACACTATGCATCTCAAATGTAGAAGATACTTTCTTCTTCACTTGCCTGCTGAATAGGAAAAAAATTCACTGCTGAACAAAAAGCAAGCATAGCTCAATGATATATTAAAAGCTTCACTTTCAATCCAACTTCTCATGTGACTTCCATAGAAAGGAGCTACGGATCTAGTGTCCACTTCAGCAAACATCAGATCAGCATCACAACTGCAGTTCAGCTTTGATTTTGAAGGGGGAAGTGGAGGAAGGGGAAGGTATTCTGCCACGAAGGAGCAGGGAACAGTCACAGGCTGAATTTCAGTTTAACCAGAGAACAGGCACAGCATCAGCAAGCAACTATGCAAGAAGGAAGCCAAGGCACTTCATTCCTAACAAAAAACTACTTAGAGGCTAAACAGATTAGTCTCTATGGTCTGTCTACACTGGGACATTAGTCAGCAGCAACAGCAGGATTCATCCTGTTGAAAAGACAAGGATGCCAAATTTCACTTACCATGAGAGTCGGATCCCAACTTCTTAGAAGCCATTTAGAACCTGAAAAACATTTTAAAACAGCTTTAACAACTTTATACATGTAATGACAGTGACATGCAGTTCTACAGAGTCTTATCTCTAGATTATGGGACACTTTGCAGACACTTGCTGTTTTATCCTGTTCCCAAGATAGATAAGCAAACTTATTTTATAGCCTTGAGAATTAACTGAGCAGACAAATAATTTAGCGCGGGATCTGACAATCTAAATGGCAAAATTAAGAAGAAAAACAAAAAAGACAGCCAAGAAGCAGCCAGGTTGATCAGGAAGGCAGAGAGTTCCAGATCACAGCGCTCAGAGGCTGCTGTCCCAGCCCCATGGAGCACACGCTGCCTCCGCTGGCATTAAGAATAGCCCTTCCTGGGGAAATACCACACTGATCCTCTTCAGTTTAATCCCTGCTGCTCTAAAAAAAGATACTATCATATTGGGTATGCAGTCAGTTAGCCAGCGTGGCACTTGTCTAGACACACTAGGTAATGCACGGATAACAATACAGGTATACAATAAATGGTACCATTAGGAAGATATTTTCAGATACACACAAGAAAACAATGCTAACAAGTCCTCCTTCATTGCCCACACAATTTTACTAATAACTTTTAAAATTTGGATGCAAATCCTACATGGCCAACATATTAAACACAGAAGTACCTAGCCAGCTTTTAACCCAGAGCAGGTCTGTCCTGAGAAAAGAGTTGCTTTAGATAAAATAAGCTGTCTAATTAGTTGTCAGCTAAAACCCTGCTCCAGGATGCCTGTGGTGTGTTCAATAACATAACGGGTTCTTTTGCTCGATTAGAAGTACATCACAAGATCTATCTCGAGACACCACAGCATAATTCTTCAAATAACTGAATTGGCAAGTCCTCCTTTGACATTATGCATGACATGCCCTTTGTTTCTGAAGTCCTCCAGCTCATAGACTGAAATGCCCAACAGCCGTTCTTCAAAAACATGAAGTTATCTGGCACACCCCCACCAGCAGCAAACAGTGCTGAAAGCACAAGTTGGAGCAGATCCAACATTCACACCCATCATTCCTCAATCGAGGTCTAACTCTTAGCCTTACTGTTTCCATTGCAGATTCCAACTGCATATGTTAACTTAAAAGAAGGGTGTCATAAGGTGAGGATTACAGACAGCTTAGCTATTCCTCCTGGCAGCTGCCAACATGGCTGGGGTCAGGAAGAGCCAGTTTTAAGTACTTTAGGAAAGCACCTTTGCAAAGGTCCCTTTCAACATTATGTTGAAATCAATAGGTGAACCAACCCTACTGGCCAGCGGGAATTCAACACACAGCTAAAGCCAAAGCTGTATGAAGATTACCTGGGTGCAACCAGACTTCATGAAACACAGCGAGCAGACACTAGGCTATGGGGAAGTGAGTCATGCTGGGCAACTCCAGGCATACCTTGTACATAAAAGCCATGTGTCAACCTGCTCGATGTTTGTCAGGTTCTTCTCAGCACATCTCACCTGTTCTCTCAACATTGGTATTATGTCCAAAACCACTCCACTAAGCCAGAGAACTGGTTTTGGCACTAGCTGACAACTGCTTCTCAGAAGCGAACAAAACACTGAGGCTTCAAAGACGTAAGAAAAAGGAGGGGAAACAGTGCTGAGCCTGCCATCTCAGGAAGGCTGTCAAGGGCAAAGCCACAAGACCGCACAGTATAGTTGCAGGTCAACTACTAGAGCTGAATGGGCTTTACCGGTCCCAGTGCCGCAGAGGAGGAGACCAGACTGTAGACTACAGCACATGAAATAGGCTGCACCTTTCAGACCCGGATCACACTGTCAGACAAGCTGCTACGTTGCTAGTTCCTCTGTATGAGAGTAGCAATTAAAACATCAACTTAATTTGTTATTACTGAAAAAGCCAGGCCACATGTGAAATCATACAGCCTTCGCATACCTCACCAGTCCTCTGTACGTCACCGGAGACTGTGACGCACTGCCTGCAAGCACGTGCTATGGCTGCCCATCGTCCACCACTATTACAGCAGAGCTGAACTAGGGATAAGGCCTCTACACACTTCCTTTAATTTCTCCAAGTTCTTCTTTCTTCGAGTTACTATCTCAGACTGAAAAGCAAGTGCTCCTTTTCCATAGGATTTTAAAACTTCTGATGAGAGGAGGTTATCTCCTCACTTTGGCAACTCATCTGACAAGGAAGTTTTTTCAGTGCAGCACCAGTTATCTACACAAAATACAGTTTATGCTGTCTACCTCATTCACCAGAAACAGCTTACTCCAGACAATACCAACATAAAGGACATTGAAAAGAAAATTCAAAGAGATCTTTTTTAAAATGATAATATACATCCCCTCTCCACCAGGCCATTGCAAGGACATACTAAGTTTACCATCTCCCACACTGACCTTGGGTAACTGAACACTAAGTTACCATGACACTATCAATTTGCTCCAGGGACATTAGTAGCAATGCGTATGAATCCCGCAGAACCAAAGATGTGCACATCTAGTGTCCAGGGAGTTTTGCAGTAGTATATCAGTCTGGAGCTGCATAAAGCCTTGGATGTGTCCTCAGTGTCAAAATACCCTATGTAAGCATAAGTATCTTGCTTTTGTTGGCAATCCTGTAGTAAAATCCTAGTGCAGACCAGGCACCTGCATTAACTTCAAGGTGCAGTGGGAAGAATGATTCCTCTGCCATATGCAACACCTTATTTTAACCACAGAACTAGCTAAGGCACATCAATAGCAAGCTAATCATGAAATGGACTATTTCCAGAGAGACAGTCACACTTCAGATTCAGGAGGCTTTTGAGTTTATATCATACTAGCTCCTCCTGATGCACTGTGAGTGTGCACTTATTGAGATACCATTACTGCAGAAGGCACTGTCAGCGAATAGAATTGTTAAGCACTGCACACTGTAACACTAAAACAGGCTGCCAGCCACATTTCTTCACCTCCTTTCCAAAGATTAATTAAAATAGTGTCTTGTGACTAATCAGATTTGAGAGGCTATTCAGGGACCACTGTTAGAAGCATCTTCTGTTGCTCTGTCCTGCTGGCTGGAAAAAAAAAAATATTTGCAGCCAGTTAGAAGGTTACTGATGTTGCCACTATCTGGGCATTATCTGAACTGTATTTGCTTAGTCAAAGTCGTTACACCGTGCAGTAAAGGTTTGGTTACTTTTATTACCGCTTTTTTAGAAATTGAAAGGACTTGCTCCCAAAGCCTTACACCAAACCAGCTAACGGACCACTGCAGCCCTACCACTGTTGCCTTTGACCTTCAGACTCCAGAACAAGATGCTGAAGGGCATCTGTGGGAACGGCACATGGGGGCACAAATTTTGGTCTGATGCTTTTCTGCACATTTTGAATTGTCAAAGAACATACTCTATACTGCAGGTAAACTTTTTCAACACCTTTCCTGGGCTAGAGAAACAACTTAGTTGCATAGTACTACAAGGTTTTATTACAGCCACCTACAAGCTCTCTTCTGTAGATGTTGACCTCCTTATCCCCATTCCCTCATTCTTGGTTCTGGCTAACCCTCTGAAGAGAAGATCAGGACTACAAGTGCCTAAAAGTTATAAGCAACTTTAATGTCAGCAGCCATTGAAGCAACCTGATGTGAGCTCTTCCCTTCCTGTCTGTGTGTTTCATTTTTCACTTAGTAACACTGAGTCAATAGGGCAACATTCTTAAAACCAGCCAGAGGAACACACTATAGCAGAGCCCAGGACAAGGGCAGAGGACCTCAGAGTGATGAAAGAAGGGCATGGAGGAACAGGGAAACAACCACAACAACAAAAAAACCAACACGAACATTCAGAGACAGAGAAGTGACAAGACAAAACTGATGACAAACAACTGGCACGAAGAGATAGATGACAAGCTGGAAAGGCCTGAAGGAACAGCATAGAGATGACCAAGACAGTCCACCTGGCACGTCACCACTTAAGCCTGAATGACTACTTTGCTGTGCTGCCAGACAAGAAGAAGAACACAAAAGAAGTGTGACTTGGTGCAGTGAAGCAATACCAAAGGGACAGTTTCATCAAGAGATGAGAAAAAAAATTACTACGAAGAGCGATTCATGGTGAGCTGCTGGGAAGTTGGGGTGGTTTTTAGTTATTATTTCCATGTTCTTTCTATTGGTGTTTTCCCTGAAGTTTATATCTACATTCCTTTTCCTCTGAAAGAGCTCTGACTGTCAAGTTGGAAGCATACTACCACTAACAGTACCTGGAACAGTTTTCTCAGTGACAACTCAAGCCAATTTAACTACTTGTCAATAAGAACTGGTCTCTTGTTGCTATATCCCCCAGTTTGGGGTGCAAGTATGTCTAGAATCCAGACCACATGAATTCTCTGAAGTAACTCCCACCTAAGATTCACATAAATGAGAAATGTACTTATTGTGGGTCAGAGGAAACTAAAATGCCTCGAGTTAGCAACCATAATCAAATCAGCACGCCTATGGTTTTCAGAGAAGAGGGACCTGATCTTGCAACTTCCATTTTGCCCGCTAATACACATTGTGTAGTCTAAGTACATGGAACTGAGGATGCATCCATTCACTCTGAAAACTACAAAAAAGACAAAAAAACTTCAAAAAGAAAAGATCATTTTTTCTCCCTATATTACATTCATGAACTACTACGATTTACACTGAGAAACAGTGAAAAGCAGTTTGATTCAAGTGATTGATTTCTAATGTGTCACAGGTATTCCAGATTTAGACAGTGGTTTAAGTTTTCACTATAACGACTTGCTTCAGTGCAAGAGAAAGGCTATAACCAACATCAGGATTCTGTATATAGCCTCATACAACAAAAATAGAAGTAGATAGTGCCTGTTGCTAAGATAAACAAAAGTTAAGATTCTCATATCAAAGCTTCCCACTTATGTAAGTGTTCATTCATTGCTACACAATTGAGATCTCTTTCATAGACTGACAGTAAAAAGCTGATCACAGAAGTTTACTACAGTACAAAACAGATTCCGTTTT